ATAAATACATAGAGAGAGAGATATGGATAGATGTATATTGATATGACACACCGATTGGCAGAAGAGAGAGTGGTTTGTTTCCCCTCATCTCAAAATAATTGGCTGATTTTGCATGTTTTCTTGGCGTTCTTTGCATATCAACAGTTTACAAAATGAATTGTTGTATCTTTGAGACAAACAAATAGTTTTTTTCCTCATCAGGAGATTTTTTGGCCAGTTTCAACATAGTAATAGTAAAATACTATTAAATAGTAAAATACACCCCAATCGGCCTTTCTTCTCAGATACATTTGAAACTATACATTTTTACAAATTGCAATATGTTTAGTTTTGGTTTAATTTATCTCAGCAGAGGAATCTTTTGGAGGATGCAACTAACTGTTATCAATTACTCTGACAATTCTTTCTTGATTTGACTATAGAATACCAGAAGTGTGGAAAGATCTCAATAATCTAAATCCCGACATGTTGTCTTGTTTTTTGGCTGACCAATGGACCAACAGACCAAAACCTAAAAAGACATTCAGATTATTATCAGACGGGACAAACAAACTCCATATTATCACAACTAAGAAACTGCAACCAGTGAATCAAATCAATAAATCAAATGTCCGGATTATTCATTTTCTTTCAATTGACTAATCCTGGCAGCCCCCGAATCTTGTCTCCCCTAATTTTATTTACAGTCAAAAACAATATCATCCCAAGGCTGTAGCTGTCAATCAAACAGCTTGTTCTTTTGATTAAGATTCATTATGTTAATAATCAGAACTCAGTAGATTTCTAGTAACGACATGTTCTCCAGTCCACCTCACATGGTCGCTCCATGAGCCAGCTGTGGTGCTCATCAGTGCACTCAGAGTAGCACTGATTCACACATAGAAATCTTCCCCCGCTGAATAATCAAGCCAAGGCCACATGCAAAGTTTGGAATTGTTTTTTTTTCTTTTACCAAAGATCCCTCCTAAAAGTCAAAGGTTTGGACACAATTTCTCATTGAATTAGAAAATGAGTAAATGACATGATAATGTGTCCATACTTTTGACTGTTTCTGTATATATAACTATATATAGAATTTATATCTTGTTTTGTTCATTAGAGAAAATAATCTGGTATTTATTGGCCCACAGTCACAACGTCCAGCTCTGCACTGACCGTCCTTCCTCATAAATACATCATATTTCATTCATCTAACTGCCTCGATCTTTTTCCTGAAAAAAAAAAAAAAGAACTCTGGCCAAGAGGAACCCAATGGTATTTGTTCCTTGACATTCACAGGGATGGACATGAATGCTCAATTGTATTTTGGTGGTTGTCGTGGTGACGTTAAAGCCATATGATAGAGTGTCATGTTTGGTTATAACAATTTACTGGATTCTTAAAAAGCCGGGAAAATATGGAAAGAAAATGTCACTGTTTATGTTGACAGAGTCTACTCACATGCTGAGACATGGACATTTTTAAGTGGTGGTGGTGGGGGGTTGGGCGGGGGGGGGGTATTGTATATGAAAGAGCAGGGTGCACTACCCATAAACCATACAAACACATGAGAAGACACAGAACAAGGGCTGGGAGGTTGTTCTGTAATCGTCATTTCTGCACTGGCAGTTTCCCAGGTGACATTTCACGAACAAAGCCAGCGACCTTTTTAACCAAAACACCCGCTCGCGTTTAATTTGAGGGCTCAGACCAGCGCCTGTCACTGCCTGCGTGCTCGGGTTTTACACAACAGATCGGACTGAAGTGCCTCGCTGGGCTTTGTTGACTTGTCCTGCAGCTCTGGAATGCAGATACATTGTAATCCATTAACAAACACTAAGGAATACCATTATATATATATATATATATATATATATATATATATATATATATATATATATATGCATTGAGGTAAAACGATTGAAGGACATGGTAAATTATCCCCGAGGAGAGGAAGCAGAGCCTGGATGAAGATCCAGGATAAATAAAAATAAGAAAAATATATATTAAAATCTAAATAAGAATAAACCAGAGAGGCTAATGAATGCCACCATGGATGCAAACACGTTACATCGGAAGAAGTAACTCATGAAAAGCCCCCGCAACGCCTGTCCGATTCTTTGATTCCAATACGAGTGTGCAGTTGTCACAGTCATTGTTCCACCAGGCATCACACGTCACACTGCGAGGCCCCCTGTGATAAAGTGGGAGCATCTCATGGTCCAAGATAAAACACTGAGGTTACGAATCAAGCTGCCTGAAAAAAAAGAACAAATGACTATTTGCTGTTGTATAAATGAACCGTTGGTCACACTATTCACTATTTCATCAGTTGCGTTTTGGTTCACATTTTAAAGCCCTGTAAACCTGTCCAGTGACTGAAAACACGACCCAGTCTCCGGTTTTAGGAGGCACCGTGCTGATACACAAATAGTCTAGCGCGGCCCACACACGAAGGACATAATCACCGACGGCCATTAAAAAGCTGATCATCACTGACAGTACGTGGAACCCCGACCAGCTCAAGCAGCCTTCAGGGTCAAAGTATTTCCCCGGTAAACTGCAAACACCTGGGAGAAACTCTTCAAAGTTATCCAACGTGCTCATTTGTCAATGAGATTAACACGCGGGCACTGAAAGCACCATTTGTTTTCATTGAAGAAAGGAGGTCGGAAAAGTTGTTACCTCCCGACGCCAGCTCGAACAGGAGCGACCACCACAGCAGCGCGCGGAGCCACGATTCCCTGCTTTCCCCGCCGCGGTCCATCTTTGTTCTCCCGGTGGGAACACGAATGTTGCCGTACATGTAGGGTTACATTTGAGCAGACATGTTTGTCACTTCTTTAGCTGTGAAGCTCTGCCGCCTGAAGCGCACTGGACCGACGCGAGTCCTCGCAAAGCTCCGCCCCGCCCGCACGTGTGCGAGTTTCTTCTCAAATAAAGCGTGTTAAACTCAGCTTTCAAAATAAAAGCTAGAGAAATTGGTAGAACTACGAGTTTTTAATGAACCGTATTTAGATTTTACATATTCGATGCATGCTTGTGACATGCAGATATATTTTACTTTTTGTATTCAACCCTGCGGGATTCAGGTCAATTCAAGGCAGTGGTGAACCACCCGGTCCGTTGCCCCAGCTATTCTCCTTGAGCTCTAACAAAGAAATAAAGGAAATGAAAGGTAATATTACATTTTTAAAATGTAAATGTCCTTGTAAAGATTCAACCTGGTCTTGGGCAAAAATGTCATCCACCTGATTTTAGGAATATATATATATATATATATATATATATATATATATATATATATTCCTAAAATATATAAAACTAAGCTGGCCAGAATGCCTAACCTGAGAGCATTCCACAAACCAATGGTTGACGTCACGTGAACTCAGCTCAGTACATTGTGCGCACCACTGATACTTCTAATTGCCTAAAGGAAAATACCCGATAATCTAAATTCCAGTTTAGGCCACGTCCCTGCAGCAAAATGTAGCCATGAACAAAGCTTTAATTTATGTAATGAATGTATATGTATGTAGATATATGTACAGTTGTGGTCAAAAGTTTACATTCACTTCTAAAGTAAACCGTGTCCTCTTACTACTGGAGTTCCTCAGGGTTCCGTGCTGGGTCCCCTCCTGTTTTCGCTTTACACCAACTCTCTTGGCGCTGTCATTCGCTCGCATGGCTTCTCTTACCACAGCTATGCCGATGACACCCAACTAATTCTCTCCTTCCCTCACTCGGACACCCAGGTGGCGGCTCGGATCTCTGCCTGTCTAACTGACATCTCTCAGTGGATGTCCGCCCACCATCTGAAAATCAACCCCGACAAGACTGAACTACTTCTCTTTCCCGGAAAAGATTCGCTTACCCAGGACCTGACAGTCAACTTTGGAAACTCTGTGCTAACGCCCACTTCGACTGCTAAGAACCTCGGCGTCACACTCGACAGCCAACTCTCCCTGACTCCCAACATCACTGCGACAACGCGATCCTGTAGATACACGCTCTACAACATCAGGAGAATACGTCCCCTTCTCACTCAGAAGGCAGCGCAGGTACTGATTCAGGCTCTTGTCATCTCCCGCCTGGACTACTGCAACTCCCTCCTGGCAGGTCTCCCTGCCACCGCCATTCGACCTCTGCAGCTCATTCAGAATGCAGCAGCTCGACTGGTCTTCAACCTTCCGAAATTCTCCCACACTACTCCACTCCTCCGCTCTCTTCACTGGCTACCGGTGGCCGCCCGCATCCAGTTCAAAACATTGGTGCTCACGTACCATGCTGTGAATGGATCGGGTCCAGTTTACATCCAGGACATGGTCAAACCCGACATCCCAACCCGCACTCTCCGCTCTGCATCTGCAAAACTACTCGTCCCTCCCTCACTGAGAGCAAAACACTCGACTAGATCTCGACTCTTTGCTGTCCTTGCGCCGAAATGGTGGAACGAGCTCTTTGAAGACACCAGGACCGCAGAGAGCCTTCACATCTTCCGCCGCAAACTAAAGACACACCTCTTCAGACTCTACCTCGACTAAAGACTAACAAATTGTAGCACTTAAATTGTACTTGTAACGTCACTCATCTATAGCAAATTGTAAATTGGCTTATTTGAGGAAATTGCACTTTCTTGTTTCTTGTTCTCCTGAGTTTGTACCCTATGGTTGAATGCACTTATTGTACGTCGCTTTGGATAAAAGCGTCAGCTAAATGACATGTAATGTAATGTAATGTAAAGTAAAGAACATAATGTCATGGCTCTCTTGTTAGTTTTCACTGATTTCTACAAGTCTGATTTTTCTGTGAACAGATACTTCTTTGTCACAAATAACATTCATGAAGCTTGGATCTTTTATGACTTTATTATGGGATAACAGAAAAAGTGACAACATCTGCTGGGTCAAAAATATACAGTACATAGAGCAGTGCTAATATTTGGTTACATGTCCCATGGCCATTTTCACTTCCATTAGGCGCTCATATGCAGTGACTGCATGGAATGGAATCATGATGTGCATGTTCTCTTACATTATATGGTTTAATGGAGTTTTATACATTGCAACAAAGTATATTTATGTTTTCAACAACCATTACCTGATGACATTTTAAATGTATGGTATGTATGGGACACGCTTCTGATACAAAACTTTCCGAAACAAAAGTACAAGCACATGTTAAAAACAATGTAAAATTGTACAATTAACAATCTTTAAGTGCTTTTGCTGGGCAAAACATTTAAGTACAATATTCCATTGTGCAAGCAATTTGTAGTCATATTAGTTTAATTCGAATGAGTTTAATGTGTCTACGATGAATAAATATTTTTTCAGGAAAATATATTACAATTTAATTGAATAAAAACACCAAAGTCAATTAGACAAAATGTTGCAGTCAGTACTGTCGTAACTGTGCTCCTTTATCAGTATCACTGCACGGCATGTATCAGTCTGCTTCACTGTCCTTTTTATAACACTTATGGATTGATTTCCCTTTACTGTGAGCTAGCTAACATCTCTCCAACACAACATTAGAATGATGTTATCTACACTGCATTCCACAAGGAATATTATTTTTAAAGAATGTAGATGAAAAATCACTGACATGTAACCCTTAGATTTACCAAATTAAAATCTGTTCAAAAACATCATGATCACGGAATCACAATCAAGTAAAAATCCATGCTAAACACGATTCATGTTGAGGTATTAGAGCATGGGACGTAAACAAAGCAAGTATATGGCACAATCAGTAAATACGAGTGATGGATGGACGAGTGGTGGGTGTTCTCCTGACGGGTCGTCACCAGGCCCCCAGCAGCTTCCTGTGCTCCTGCTTGATGCAGCTGTAGATGGGGTGGTAGAAGCGGCGGTCGGGCACCATGAGGTCGGTGACGATCTCGGTGTGGTCGACGCGGGGGAGCAGGTAGAGCGACACCTTCACGGACAGCGAGGTGAGGAGGTCGCAGAACTTTGCGGAGGAATCGAAGGGGACGATGATGTCGTCGGTCCCGTGGAGCAGAGCAAACGGAGGGATTCTGGCAGAGGTGAAAAGCAGAGAGGATTGTGGGTGTTTAAAATAAAAAAAAGAATAAGCAGATTCAACAGATGTTTTTTATGTGAGGTTGTTATTCTGGTGCCACCTGTCCAGCTTGTCCCGGCTCAGCCTCTTCAGTAAGTGTGTCGGCGAGTAGTACGGGAAGTTCTCCACTCCATTCATGGCTTTGTGCATGGTGGAGACGTACTCGACTCCCCGCTTCTGCTCGTGCTCGTAATGGTCCACGATGTTGTACACGCCACTCAGACCTGTCCCGGGGACAGGGCAGATTGACGTTAATAAATCCTGGCATTCCAAGGAAAACTTGGACGCAACTGGGGCTGAAACGTGATGACGTTTTGCAAAGTGATGCTTACCAATGACTCCTCTTATGGCCTCTGTGACGTCCGCCTGCTTGCTTGCCTCTATGAAAAGCTCCTCTCGTCCGTCAATGAGAAACAGCGCGGCCAATGTGCACAAATGAGCACCTGCCGAATGGCCGATTAATACTATGTTGTCCTACAAAGGGCAGAAAGAAAAGACATGTAATGACATCTACAGCCAACACAGGGACAGATCAGTTAACTGATTATTATTGTGTTACTTATTCAGAAACTGATACGATCCGTCAAACTGAAAACGAGATATGGTCTAGAATGTAGAGAACTGCGCACACAAATGATTATTTTAAGCTATAAACAGTACTTAGATGAAACACATCGATGCTGGTGTTAATGTTCATTTCTTGCAAAAATGTCAAAACAACAACCACAACTGTGACCTGAGTGTGTAGAAGAAACTGGGATTTGTTACTCATGCGTAATGTTACTCATTTAGCTGCTGGTTAGCTGGCTAACAGTAGCTTGGTAACTGCACCGTGCTTCCACGCTAAAGTTACTGTGGTTACAGAAAAGCCAGAGAACAGAGGAGAGCAGGCCGCTGCTCCGGAGACGGACGCACTCGCGCAATTTCAGTCGCTGCAGCCTCAGCGCTCCGTCTCTGGAGACGACGTCCTCTCGCCAAAGTCGTCTCCCAGCGGTGGGACCACAGGATACGATTCTTGTCCCACTTCTGGTCTGATAAACAGTGAATCCATCACATGCAGTGACCCATACCAAGGATCCCAAGCTAACGTGGCTGTCATGCTTGTTGAGGTTGCTTGGAGGCTTTTGACAGAACCAAGCGGGGATGGTTTCATCTCTCAGCCGCCGGCCAACCGGTGTTGCATTTTTCTTAATCATGCAGTGGGTGCCTCAAGGGGAAGTTACAATTGAAATGTCTATTTTTACTCCATGCATGGTCATGACTCTACTTTGAGCTAACTGCAGGTTGTTATATGAATATATGAAACTTGGTGCATTATAAACAGTCATTGTTGTCCTTGTAATCTGACAGTTTTCTAAGAATACATGATTGTAACTCTTACTTTATCAAAGTTGAACTTCTGTCCACTCTCTCGGGCCCAAATGAGGCAGTCCACAATATCTTGGATCATGCCTAAAACGTTCGCCTGTATCAGCAATCAGATGGAATGAGCAGTCAGTCCAGACACCACAGCGGCAGTACAATTCTTACCTGTTCACAAAGTTATGAGAAACCGTTCATTTTCCAGTCACTCATACTCGTGTGCTCAAACTACTCAGACTACAGTGTATGGTTCTCCTACCTTCGGATAGACAAAGTAATCAGGACAAATGACAGTTGCACTCAGTTCTTTCGCCATCTGCCTCGCCATCAAACAGTAAATGGATCGATCTCCGGAGCCCCACGCTCCCCCCGTAGATGAAACACCACCAGCGGCGCCGGCACACCTTTGACCCGTCCACGTTTGGAGGGTGGTACAAGTCCAGCTTGTTGTTTCTGCGGCCAAATGTGATGCCCTTTGTGTCCAGACAAGACAAAAGTGTGAATTTCAACACAATGCTCAGGTGCTACATAACACATTTTGAAGGGACCACATCGAAAGCAGAGACACGCATAAAAGTAGGATTCTTTTTTTTACTCCTTGTAAACACACCTTCTCATAGTGCTTGCGGTTTTCCTCATTCTTGTACCATGACTTCCACTGAAAGTAAAGTCGCCCATATTGCAGGTATTTGAGAGTCTCCAGCACAGCTCTGGTCAAACAGTATATTCGTCTGTTCAAAAGGCCAAAGAGAAAAAAGTGGATTAACAAGTGAATCTTCTTAAGGAGTGAAACAACGGAGAGAATGCAGTATTTGACAAATTACCGTGGTTTCAGAGCTTCTATGTACTTCTTGTATCCCGGCTTGCTGGGCCAGCCGTAAAGCCACTGGGCAGCTAGAGAGATGGAGTAAGGGAGGCCCACCAACAAGACCCCCACCGACACGGGCAGCGACATATGACACCGCAACCCTGACCTTCAATAGAACATATACACACACATATTAGCGGACTACACGATGTATTTATTACCTAATGTCCTTCAGAACGCGGCGCATGAGAGGCTCTTACATGTTTTGGGTTCGTCTGTCTGTCTGACCTACAACAAAGAAGAGAGACAATTTTAAACATTTGTTGCGTTTGCATCAAACAGGTTAAGCGATACGACCCCAATAATTGGTTTGTGTTTAATTAATGGATTTCATGGATTGTTAAACACTGTTTTGTTTTCATTACATGTTTAATCACAAACAAAGTCGTTTAAAAGGTTTGCTGTTAAAAAGTGAGACATATTTGACCCGTTTAATTAGTTAATAGTCATTTGTAAGCCAAACGTTGTACTGGCTTATGACGCATCTTCAGTAAATGGTAACGCTGTGGAGAGGCAGCGGTTCTTTGGCGTTACCATGGCGCTCTCTAGCGGGTCTTTACACATAAACACTTGATAAAAAGCTTCATCTGCTGAAGAACAACACGAGCAAACCTTCTGATAACTGACGCTCGGGGACACAGCTGTATTATTGTAGCTAGCTAGCTATGAGCTACCGTGAAGCTACAGGTTATATAGTAAGTAATCACGGGTTGTGCTTTCTCACTATTTCGGGTGTAAAAGTTTAACGCTAGCGTCACTTCTCTCTATTTAACACAACAGTACAAACGTCAGGTGAGCTATGTTGTTCTCATCACTTATGACGTCAAATAACTTGTTTTGTAGATTCACTTATTATCGGCTTTGGAAACAAAGAAAAAAAAAACGGAGGTGAAAGTAAATGTAGCAAACTGTAACGATATGAACAGCCCTGATCGCGGACGCCAGGTAACGGGGCGTGGTGCTAAATTGATTGGTTGGGATGAGCAGATGCCTCCGATAACCTCCGCGCATTACCTGTCCTCCAGAAGCCGGCGTCGGCCTCACACCAACAAAGAGCAGTGTGGCCAAGCGAGAGCGAAATCCTCCTCAACTTCCGGTACCGCTCTGAAGTGTTGCATACCAGCTGACCGACCGTACAGCGGATAATATTGACGTTATACTTAACAGGTAAATGCAGCTATTTATGAATTATTTTGTTTACATGCAGAGATGCTCTGATAAATTACATTTTCATGTGGCGGTGAAGTGAGCTGTAACTCCGGGGAAAGAGGGGTTTCTATCTTGTTTAACCCGACAGCTCTGCTCCTGTACCCCGGAAATACATCACTGACAATGACCCATTTTTATGCGAATAGCAGAAAGCCAGACAAGGGACATTATTCATTAAGTCATTTGATAACACCCCCAGCTAATTGTAACTCAAGGTCATTATATTCATTTATATTGGAGATTTTAATATCTCTCAGTCGTCATGGATGTAGCTCAGTTGCTACCTGCAGGGGTCGCTGTTATGACAGCTGATGACAACATCATGACACCATCCGTGAGATGTGGCCGAAGGCTTGTGATCAATCACTCCCCCCTCAGTCCTCTAATGTCTGACTGATGTTCAGTGAATGCAAGAGGAAGGGTCACTGAATGATGCTGGGTTTAATCTGTGATAACATAAACACCGCCAGTTTTCTGATTGAATGAATTTGATAAATGCATACTGTTTATCTCTATGTTAAATGCGCTACCACGAGGTTAACTATTCTCACCAATTTTTCTTGTTTCTAGTAATTCATTACTACAGTTCCTTTAATCTCACTGTTACCCAGTTTGTTGTGTATACTGGTCTCCAGTAAAAACTCCAAAGGCCAAGTGGTGAACCGGCAGTGTGAACAATAGCAATAGTAGTAGTAATATTGTATTTTTAAAAATGGCTGCATATTATTTTTAAATTATGAAATGTTATTGGTGAGTGAACCAATTGTTGTCATTCAATTAGAAAAAAAACGTAATCAGTAACGCAATTAATTCATTTCGTTTTTCCAGCCGAGGGACAAAGCATGGGAGTGCATTTGCAGAGCCGCACTACCTGCATACATCCAGCAGGCAGAGGAAGAGTTCTGCCACTTGCTCCTTCAATTCATTCCTGCAAGCAATACCTCATCCAGATGGTACACATCAGGAGAATATACGAGTGACAAACATTATGATGTAAAACTGACACTGTTTGAGTTTTTATCACCTCAATGTGTTAGAAATGGATCGATCGACCAAGTGTTGTCCAAGTTTAAGCCCTTTAACTCCCTTACGTGACAGTTATATCATATTACTGGACGCACCTCAAGTTTCAAGTTTTTGCAAGCTAGTCCTCACACACTGATGGCTTAAATAACAAGCAGAGGGTGCTGTTTGGATTGCACAGTAAAAAAAAAAAACTGCACTGGTGAGGTGTGAGGAATTGGGAAACTCCTCACGCGTTTCTGTTAGGAATTATTATTGTTAGATGTATTTCACATTTGATTTGTCCAATTATTACCACTCTGTGTTCTATCAACGCCCACGTTGAATGACTCTCGGTCGGTTCACAGATGGTCGAGTGCGGTGCTGGACAAAGGTGTTATTGGCCGTGTGCTCGGAAAACCTTCGGATCCGACACCGCAGACTTGAGAAAAGCAGAGCGGCTTATGAGCGCTGACCGGCCCCGAGTGGTTATTGTTATGTTTGGACCCACCGAGCGGAGAGAGCACCGGCTCCTGAGTGGGCGTGTGGTTGCCCCCCCCCATTTGCCACCATGCGAGGAGGCCCAGGTGCCTGCTTTTTTTTCCAGAGGCCACAGTGGAAACGGAGCCGTTAAGACGGCATTCAAGCCGTCGGTATGAGCCGAGTCAGCCCGTTTCCGCTGTGGTGAGTATTCACAGCACTTCCCCCCCCATCGTGCACGTTTTATAAATGGTATTATCCTTAAGGGAATCACATAGTGGTATTAAGATAATAACAATTGACGCACGCAAGACAGTGTTCTGTGTAGGCGTAGAGGAGCTTTTCATCCTTAAAAAAACTAAAACCTGTGCTCGACGTGGAAAGCGTTTTTAAAGATCTTTGCATTCATAAGAAGACATATCTGGATAAAGAGAATGTACAGATGCAGACAATCTGCACAGCCATCTTTTTGATTTCACACTGTCACTTTAACTGTAATTTATCACTTTGTCGTCACTCGTCACTTTGTTCGCTAGTGCACTTTATGCTTAATATTTTTTTAACTTTTTTAATATTTTAAATTTGTAACTTTATTCCCTTGTTTTATACTAACCCATAGCCTTACTCTACTAACCCATTGCATTAGCATTTCATTTTACTTTATTTTATTACTTGTGCACTGCTGTCTTGTTGTCTATTGTCACACTGTCTACTGTCGCGCACCAACCGCCAAGACAAATTCCTTGTATGTTTGACATATTTTGGTGATTGATAAGCTTTTTTGCTGCGTGAGCCATTCAGATCAAATAAAAGCTCAGCGATTCGGGGAAGCAGAGCGACCCGTCAGCACATCCTTCAATGTGGACGTCCCCGCCGCAGGCCATCGACCCACTGGCGCGGTGACAGGAGCAAGAGGCTGAGCACTGAGCATCTCCAGCTGCAGCGATGCTTCTCGGAACTGACACCGAACAACAAACGCCAAATGTCCTCAGAAGCACAATTGAACGCCAGCAGGAAACGGCCGTTCTTGTGAAACCGTTCCATGCTGGAATGATCACTAGCGCATTCCGATGGTAAGGCTGCGATAGGTGGAAGGCAGGAGAACGCAACGTGGGAAACAGAATTGCTTCAGCGCCTCTTCAAAACACCGCAACGCAGTCTGGGGTTGACATCACCACCTGTGTCTTTAAACTAAAGGTGAGGTCTGAAAGAAATGTAAGTGGGATTTCAAGAAATTCTGGTTAATATTGTTCCCTCTGGAATTAGTACAGGGTGTGAGCAGCTTGTCGCTGGCGCAACTGACACGTCGCCAGCATCCGAGGAGGTTGCGCTGTGATCCAACGGGAAAGGCGGGTGATACTGGTCTCTTTGATCAGACCGGAGAGTTTCTTTTGAACAACAGTTGCGCTTTGTAGCTGCTATTTAACACAAGGAACATTTTTTGGTGCCTGTTCAGTGATTTCCTGCTATTGTGTTTTTGTGACTTTGTGACTAGTGTTAACATTTATTTCATGTGCACGAAGTAGCAGCTTATCCTTCGAACGATAGTCACATTGTTTGTATAACGCCCTCCTCTAGTGAGTCACTGTGGGTGTTTCGCGTCAAACCGAAGTCTTTCACCTGATGTACATTGTGCTTCATTTGTGAGAAAAAGGGAGTGGCTCAAGAATTGCCAAGAGCTGAGTCATCCGCTGCAAAAATATAGCCTTTTATTTCCTAAAGCATCTTAAGAGGTGTAGTTTGTGTGCATATAGCGTTGCTTCATTAAAACATGAGGTTTGTTTGTTGTGTCCACACACTGGCCTGTTTACCTCCCCCCACCGGGACCCAGTCTTTCTGAGGCCCCTAACCAATGTGAGGTACTGAGCCAGATCCCAAACATAAACTCCAACCCCAGCCACGGAAGAGTTCTGCTCTGGTTGGGCCTCGGGCCCTCAGGACACACAGAGCCATCTTTTCACGGGACTCCACAAACACGCCGGGCCCGGAGAAGCGGAGGGGGGGGGGGACTATGGAAACTGGCATCGACCACAGGACCTAGTTTCTAGGTTTCCCTGTTCTCGGAATCAGACCCCGAGTCCTGCAGACGCCGGCGGAGCAGCGGAGACAGAGGTTGTGGCGCTCTGAGGGCCCTCTGATTGATCGGAGAGAAACAGAGCGGCCATTCTCGTCAGGCCCGGCGCTTGAATGCTAACAAGCACGAAAGTGCGTCCTCACCGCAAAGAAATGGATGGAGGAGTTTTGTGAGATGGGGTAGTCGACTGGGTAAATACGTGAGAGGTGAGCATGCGCGTGGACGGGTTGAGGGGGTTCAGAGGTGCATCGCTGCAGAACTTTCGTCTTGACATAGAAGATATTTATATAGAATACAGTAACGGGTTGAGTTTCAGTGGGCCCTGTCTCTCTGGCACACGGTGCACGTGGGGTAAAAGCTGCCGTCCAACAAAATTCAAAACGGTAAAACGGTATAAAGGTAAGCCTCAGCGTGCACGTTGATGTTTGTGTCCTTCAACATAAATCAGGAGACAGGAAGGCGGCTTGTTTTGACCTGTTGTGGGTGTGATGGTTCACACGCTTTGCACCCTGGCTGCTTTTCAATTGATAAAGGCAGAACGCACAGTAAGTGCATATAAATAGACAGACACAGTTTAACAGTGTAGCTGTGTGTGTTACGTGTGCGATGCCGTGTCGCACACTTTGAGATTTCTGTAACTGTCTCTTCTGAGAATTCCTCTGTGTGTTCACGGCAATATCCAACTTGGCGTGTCCTTGTGCTGTTTACAACGATTATGTAAAGTGTATCAACAGCAAAAGCTTTTGCGTCAGAGTCTAATTCAACACCAGCCAAGTAAATGTTCCAGCTCCAAGTCCAAGTCATCAACTAATAATTTTATTAGTTCAACATCATGTGGTAATTTGTGAAGAACTAAATCAGTGCATAACACTGAAGTAGTATTCAAGGTGGGAATCACCAAAGACACCGCCATAATGAAACGTAACGGCAGGGTTGGTAATATTGAGAGACGTTTTTTTTTATCCAACTGAAAATAACCGGCCCAGTGAAAGTAGATAACCACACAAGAAAGTGAATCCAGCAATAAAAAGGGACAGCGCCTCCCTCCATAATGCTTAATATGAACGTTTGCAACCGACGTGGCTGCTGTTCGTAAGCTGTCAAGCTAGCAATGAGTACACAGATGTAATGGCTGCATAGGTAGGACATCCAGGACTGTAATATCTAATAGGCCCTATCAATCAATCCTATCAATCCATGTAATGATTAGACAGGCTTAATTCGGACTTGTAAGAGCCACAGAAACAGAATTTCTTGCTTTTCCCAAAGCATTTTATTCATACTGCTGGCTAGATGTCATGAAAATGAAAAGAAATACCAACAATGTTTTTTAAAGACTATTACCAGCCCCACTCATACTTATCGCATGCAGCCCCTGATAACCTCCAATGGCCTTTTCTCCGCTGAGCACACAACGTGGTCTAGGGGCAGGTTTTAGATGCCAAGACACTTATTTGCTCAGTGTGTCTGTGTTTGGTCATGTCCACAAGAGGTTGTTAGCCTTCAGTAAAGGCTGGCGACTGCGTCTGCGAGTGCGTCTGCGTGTGCGTCTGCGACTGCGTCTGCGTTGTTGCGTCGACGCACTCGTTTCAATTCATGGTTCTAAAAGTCTTGCGTGTGTTGCAGAGTAATTCACCTCCAGAACAACAGGCGGAGTAACGTGTTTTGTTGAAGACGACCTAGAGAGTCACGTCTTTGTGTGTGGAAGTTGTTGGTTTGTTTATGTATTTATCATAGACTTTATTGCCCCGTGCATCCACACTGTTGCTTTTCATGGCACATTTGTCCCGTATTTTACTCCACAACTTTGTTCCTCTCGACTGGCAAACCGGCGTTTGCGGAGATCTCCCTCCATGAATCCAACCCGCTTCTACAACCCGCCAATGACGGCTTGTATAAGCGCTCATATTTACGCATTTCTTCCGACAAAAGTTCTTAAATCTGATCCGTTCTCTCGTAAACATTCTTCTCTTTTAATAATGGCGGTATCGGGCTATGAAAGCGGAAATGTGAGACTCCGTAAAGGATGTAGTTAGCAGACCAATCGCAGCCTTGTGCGCTGCGGGAGGAAGCGACGCAAGCCTAGAAAAATGGGTCGACGCACGCAAGGACGCAAGGAGGTGTGAAAAGACACGCAAGGGACACGCAAGGGGGTCTTGCGTCTGCGTTGCTCTGAAAAAGCAGAAGCATAAACTCTTTTTTACTCTTTACTCTTTTAGGTTGGTCCCTATATCCTTGGATCCATGAAGTCTTAATAGTAATATGGCGTAGGGGTAGACTTGGTATATTTTAATTGGGCACCCTTGTATTTACTTTTCACTTCATTGCGTGCAGCGTCCACAGCTAGGATTTAAGATATTCTTTCCACAGCCTGTGCAAGCATCAAATACTGTGAAACTGGCACACATAAACATTCTTTTTTCAGATTGAGGTACGGTATTTTATTGAATTTTTACACACAAAAGTCTGTGTTTAATTCCAGCATAAACACCGGTGTTCCTTTCGGCCAAACTATTCCAGGCTTGGCACTCAAACTGCCCGTACAGATTTATTTCAAACCGGACTCTTCCATTTGTCCAGCAACTGGATTCCTCGTGATACGCCATGGGAACCAAATCTTCAGCGGGAGGGAGTTGATGTCTCTTTGATCTGCATCGTCATGGAGCGCGTACTGTAAAGGCTAACAACGAGAGACAGTCCGGAGACCGAGCTCTTCCTCGGGAATGCTGACATTTAGGTGCATGAAAACAGCGCGATGCAGAGAAACGAGCCTCACTTTGTTTTAGCCTTTCATTTGCTAATGTTTCACATTTTCCTGGTTGGATATTTTACTAGAACTGTAAAAAAATAATGTGAATACCTGCTTTCAGCACACCTTAACATAAAAGTACACAGTAATAGGTAATGTTGGGAGTTCAATGCAACTCACACCTTTTTACGGTGGCCCTGAAGTGCAAAACGCAACGGCAAATAGGAAAACACAACGAAATGAACTCGTTTGAGCTTTTATTTACACCTAAATATAATTGAACAACAAAACAGCAGTAAAACAATGGTGAAACACTAGTGGAACACTTTTAAGACACTGGTAAAACATCGCCATCTCTCCGTTACTGCTGCGGCTCTCCTGCTGCGTCACTTCCCCCCCTCATCACAGGCTCTCAGTCCCGCCTCTGATTTATTGATTGACAGAGTATCTAGAAAGCGGCGTTTCTCAGCTTTCAGAATCCGATTGTGCAAATAGTTAAGGGGTCACGGTAATTTGAATCCTCCATGTCACTTTCCATTGCCGGCGAAAGGCTTCGGCTTAAGAGGGTTAAAAGAGCGACAGTCCGTCTGTCCAATCAGAAGGGTCCGTCCTCTGCTTCCTGCTATGAGGCCCGACTCTTTCCGTAAGAAGCTAATGTCGTTGTGTTTTCCTATTTGCTCTTGTATTTTGCACTTCAGGACCACCGTAGCTTTTTTCC